ACACACACACACACACACACACACACACACACACACACACACACACACACACACACACACACACACACACACACACACACACACACTCACACTGAAAATGAAAAAAAACACACAAATATCTAGAAAAGTCAGTTAAATTCATTGATAATAAAAAAACTTCAGGAATTATGGAATTTAATGTGAATTATTTGTAATTATTTTATTCACATTTATTTTATAATATATCGGCGTTTGTAAAAGAGCAGATTTGTCATTACAGCAGAAATAAAGTGGAAAATGTTAAGCGCAGCATTAGATGCTTAACCTGCAGTTGTGCTGAAATAATGTGAATGTCTCGTTCGGTCGTGATTCCTGTGTTTCTAATCACTGTGATCCTGCGTTTGACGTGAGTCTGTAGAGCTCCGGTCGCTGACTGCGAGTGTGTGTGTGTGTGAGAGTGTGTGTGTGTGTGTGTATATGTGTGTGTGTGTGTGTATGTGTGTGTGTATAACTGTGTGTGTGTGTGTGTGTTTCTGCAGGGCTCCGTTCGCCGTCGGTCAGACGCGCTCGTGTCTCTCTGGAGCGGCTCCTGGATCTCCGGGCTCCGCGGGTCCCTCCAGTCCGGTGCTGATGGCGTCTGGGTCTGCGTCCCGCTCCAGCACGCCGCTCAGCAGCCCGTCGTCTCCGCAGCTGCATCTGAAGAACTGTCTGCGCTTGTGCAGCCAGCAGACGGTCAACCAGGCGCGCTCCGCCATGCAGCTGGGTGAGTGAAGCACACTGTGTGCCATTACAGGACAATACACTCAGAAGAGTCATGAAAACCAGATTATTGGGAGCAGGAACTAAAACTAAACAGTCACACCTGCCAATCACCAGTGACCTTACCGCCCATAAAAATTGTTTGTGCATTAATTAATTATAAAACAGGCAGATTTTTTTTTTTTTCCAATTATTATTATAGTATTATTTTTCCATTGTTGTTTATTCATTTGACTGTGTGTTTAAGGGCTGTGTGTCTTCATGAGTAAGAGATAATACGAGGGAATGGTTATGGGAACTCAAGGTTTATGGGATGTTTGGTTTAACACTACATGTTAAATGAAGTCACAACACAACTGAGATTTTTCAGTAAACTCTTTGCTCAGGCGACTTCTTGGCTGATAGCAGACGGTTAATACAGGTTTGGAGACCAGTCGAGATGTCCTGTTAACAGGTTTTGGTGACTAGTTGTTGTGTTATGTTGCGCTGCAGAAGTCAGGCGTGTTTCTCGTGTGTTAGCGTGACGCTCTGTAATCTCTTCAGGTCAGATGGCGGTGCATTACTCGCTGAAGGAGCTTGTTAAAGTGTTTTCCAGCTCAGATAAGATGTCAGCTGTAATGAAGGCCGTGTTGGCAGTAATTGCCGGGTTGCATTCTCGCAGTTCTTGAACTTTGAGGAGCGACGTGGAGCTCGTGCAGCGGCACAGAACGACGGCACGGGACGCCCGTCGAGATCCCTGACATCCTTTACTCATCCTTTAGATGATGATCTGAAACACCAGAGTTTGATGAATGCATGACCTGATGATGATGATGATGTGTGTATGCAGAGCAATGCTTTGGATTAAAGCGTCTGCTGAATGCAGAAGGGAAATGTCAAAAAATGTCATAATATTAATTGCAATTTAAAATATGATTAAATTTTTTTTTTTTTTTTTTAAGGTCCAGGTTTGCTGGTCTTGTTTGTACAGCTACACAATATGCAAATACAATTATTATTATTATTATTATTATTATTACTGTTGTTTTTCTTAAGTACAATTTTTTTAATTTTACAGTAAAATATTACAATAGTAATATTTCTTTTTGTTTCATATTTTTATTTAGTAGTAGTAATACTACTACTACTAATAATAATAACAACAGCAGTATATAAAAAAATAACTATATTAGCAGTAATATAATAATAATTATAAATATTATTGTTATTACATTAGATTATTATTAATATCAATATTAGTACTGTTACTCAATAAAAAATAATAATCAAAGAAATATGACTTTAATATTATTAAACTGTATTTAATAATAATCCCTTTACTCATCCTTTAGATGATGATCTGAAACACCAGAGTTTGATGAATGCATGACCTGATGATGATGATGATGTGTGTATGCAGAGCAATGCTTTGGATTAAAGCGTCTGCTGAATGCAGAAGGGAAATGTCAAAAAATGTCATAATATTAATTGCAATTTAAAATATGATTAAATTTTTTTTTTTTTTTTTTAAGGTCCAGGTTTGCTGGTCTTGTTTGTACAGCTACACAATATGCAAATACAATTATTATTATTATTATTATTATTATTACTGTTGTTTTTCTTAAGTACAATTTTTTTAATTTTACAGTAAAATATTACAATAGTAATATTTCTTTTTGTTTCATATTTTTATTTAGTAGTAGTAATACTACTACTACTAATAATAATAACAACAGCAGTATATAAAAAAATAACTATATTAGCAGTAATATAATAATAATTATAAATATTATTGTTATTACATTAGATTATTATTAATATCAATATTAGTACTGTTACTCAATAAAAAATAATAATCAAAGAAATATGACTTTAATATTATTAAACTGTATTTAATAATAATCTTAATGTGTATAACAATACTATTATTAATAATGTAGTATAATATAACAACAACAATAAATAAAATAATATAATAATAATTATAAATATAAATATTATTAGATTAGATTATTAATATTATTATTAGTTCTCAGTAAAAAATATTAAACAAAATAAGAATTATATTTATTATAATAATTCACTGTAAAATAAAGAAAAAATACTTAAGAAAAACGACTGTAAAATTATAATACTAATATTTATAGCTTATTTTTTTAAAAGTTAAATCAAGCTTTTATTTTGGCAGAAAACCGTATGAAGTGTTTACAGCATCTGGTTTATAATCACTCATAAACTAGTGATGAGACACTGAAACACTGAATCATGAGCTGCGTGTGTAAATGAACACAGTGCCGCGCTTCACTCTGAAAACGGCAATCAGCCAAAAGAGTTGCATCGATGATTGATCATGTGACTGTTTGTGTCTGAATGCTGTTACTGTTGTCAGTCCACAGTCCTCCGGTGAGCAGCAGCCCTGAGCGTCCGACTGCATCCGTGACGCCGCTGCGACCGCAGGCCAGTCCGTCTCGCTCCCCCGCGAGGCCCCTGTCCATGACAGCGGCCCCTCAGCCTCACGCTGCTTCTGTACGGCCCCTGAGGCCCCTGAGCTCCATCACGCCTCCCAACGCCAGCGCGGCGCACCTGAACGCAGCAGACCTGCACAAACTCCAGGACAAGAAGCTGGAGAAGGTCAGTGCTGAAACCATCACAGACATGGCTGTTCATGGAAATAACGGGGAAATAAAATAAAATACAAATATTAGATGAGAAACTGAAATAAATGACACATTTTAACTAAACAAAAATTAGACACAGTTGAAGCAGTAAAATTACTAACTGGAATTAAATAAACGACTAAAAGTGAATAAAAAAATTGACCTAAATAGTAAATATTTTTACAAATTATAATGATTTTTTTTTAATAAAAATAAATAAAATTACAGCTAAAAATAAAAGCTAATTCAAAATATTTATAAAAAAACTATAATAATATATAAATAATTATTAAATAAAATAATAGTAGTAACATAGTAAAATAACACTGGAATGTTATCACAAAGGACAATGAATAAATAATAAAACACTAAATTTACTAATTGTCATAATTGACATTTAAATGTGCCACATTTGCTTTTTTACTTATTTATTTCTAGCTCCATGCTTGCTGTACTTGTTTGAAGCTCTGCACAATTTGGCCAAAATTCATTTAAATAAACTGCAGTCTTTGATCATCTAAAACTGAAATTAAGAAACAAATTAAACCTAAATAGTAATATATAAAATAATAATACAAATGGAAAGAAAATATCAAAAATTAAACTAAAATTAAAATTACACATGGAAATAAAAATAAGCTAAAATATATTTACAAAAACAATAATACTATATAAATAATAGTAAAATAACACTATATGGGGTCCAACACAGATTTGACATTGGACATCAAGTGGTGTCCAAACACTGCACGTTCAGTATGAATAAATGATTCGATCGATCAGTATATTTCTATCAGACGCTCAGTCTCGGATGTATTGCGGTTATTATGTTACAGTCTGGATGACAGGCGTGATCACATGCTGTCTGCGCGAGCGTTAATTATGAGCTGTTAATGAACTCAGAGTCTAAAATAAGAGACACACGTCATGCACAGCGATGCCAGTTATCTTCTTATTGATCCGATACCAAGTACTTTCAAGATGTGAGTGATTTTATAGTGTACTTTGATAGCCATCATTAATATTAAATACAACACATATAACAACTTGTATAACAAAAATAAAACACGTGACACAAATCTTTTGTGTCTTTAAATGTACGGACTATATATTTATACCGCTCAATGCATATCTATTAAAATGGTTTTATATCTGTATATCTGAGTTTTACATGTTGTCTTTTAATCCTCTTATTCATTTTAATGTGTGTATGTCTTTAAATGTGAATGGTCTGCCTGTCAGCTTAAGTTATTCTAGTTGTATTGTGTTGTTTTAAGTTCCGTGTGCATTGTGTAAATACACTATTTATTCAGTCTACTCTTGTCGTTTGTCTCATCTTTTTAAAAAACACTTGTTTTACCTCACACATAAAATCGGACCCCTTTTGATCAGTGTAACGCCTTCCGTGACGGCTGAGCGTTACAGGTTTACATAGAAGCACAGTCGGTTATGTCTAAAGTCAAAGCAAACCAGACGCGTGTAGCTCTTAAAGTGACAGCAGTCTAATAGCACTAAACATGCTGCCGCTTGTCATTAAAGGAAGAGTCGTTATTTACTCACTCTCATGTTATCTCAAACCTGTTTTAATTTCTGTCTTGTGCTGAACACAAAAGACGATGTTTTGAAGGATGTAGGGAACCAAACAGTAGTAGTTCGATAGTGGGAAAAAATAAAATCAAATACTATGGAAGTCACTGCGGACCAGCAGTTATTTTTGGGTGAACTATCCCTTTCATATTAATAAACGAACTGCTAAATACACCTTGTTTTATTTGTATATAATGTGTGTTCGTAATGTGTATCTTTGTTTTTATTAATAACAAGGATACGATTTTTTAAAAAGATTTTTATCTTCAGAAATAGATAGAGGCTAATTAAACTAAAATGTCCAGTTTAAATCTTTATACTCACATGCAGTGTAATATTCTGCTCCCCGTGAAATCTTCATCTGTACTGAATGAAGTATATAATTAAACGTGACTTTTTGTATTCGAATAACCTAATCACCACTCGGTACCTGGATTATTCTAAACATTCTGAAATCGTTAAGATGGGATTGATACTTTTATTTGATACAGTGTATCGGCCATCACTAATGCACAGGTCTCGGCACATGTGGTAGGATGGAATGTGAACATATCTGGACCTTATTTCAAGCCAAAACCACAATGTTTTGAGACCCTGGAGACAGTTTCTGTGTTCTGGATGAGTTCTCTGTTCTCCAGAGCTTGTCGTGTGTAGCGTGTCCTCGTTAGTCCTCGTCAGGTGCGTGGCTCAGATCTCTCTCTCTCTCTCTCTCTCTCTCTCTCTCTCTCTCTCTCTCCACAGACCTGCAGCACTTCTGGAGTTTATACTGTTTCTACGGGACTTCGAGCTTTCCTCATTTACGTCTTCATTGTTCATTTCTTCATTCTATTTTAATAATTACATTTCCCAGACAGCTTGTCTAATCGATTGAGTTCATAAAACTTGGGGCCGTATGAAATCTGTTTCATTTTTATCCCAATTTTTTCTGTTTTAATTTTTTCTGGATTCAGTTTCAATAATTTAATGCAATTTTTATAATCAAAAAGCACGTCTCATCAATTGAATTTATAAAACTTTAATAATTTATTACAGTTTTTTTACAATAATAGGCCCTGAAATGGATTCATGAAACCCATTTTTATTTTTTTCCCAAATTCCATTTTTTCCATTTACATTTCTGTAGGTTTCTGGATTCTGTTTTAATAATTTCAGTAAAATTTGTTTTATTTTTCCCAAATTAATTTACATTTTCTGGATTTCATTTGCATTTTTCTGGATTCTGGTTTAATAATTTAATTACCTTTCAATATTTAAAAAGTATTTCATAATTTATTAACATTTTTACAAAAATATGGGCCTTATGAAATCTGTTTTATTATTATAATTTTTATTTTTTTTTGCATTTTAAGTTTTTGGATTCCATTTAAATTTTTTCTGGATTCTGTTTTAATAATTTTATAAATATTGTAATAATTAAAAAGCATGTCTAATCAATTAAATTCATAAAACTTCAACAATTTAATACTTTATTATTTTATTTTATATATATCCAGTATATATAATATATATATATATTACAATAATAGGGCCCCAAAAAAATCCCCTGTGCTATAATTTTTCTGGATTTATGGTTTAATAAAAAAATGTATTATCAAAAACAGTGGTAATCAAATAACAAGAACAATTTAAATGTAATGCAAACTGGTGCACAGCAGAGGTTTACTGTTCAAATGAAAGCATGGAAGAACAATTGTGTTTTAGTCATTTTTTTGTTATTATTATTACTAAGAGAAGCACATTCTACTGTAGCTACAATAGTACTATACATTTCTGTCATAGTTTATTCCAGTTGGACTTTGATTCTTTTATTTCGGCGGGTTTGAGTTATTGATCAGACACCTGCCTGACTGGATTACGCTCATGTCTTGCTGAGCTCATCGGGCTCTGTCTGTGTGTGTAAACAGTGTTTGTGTCTCTCACAGAAAGAGAAGAAGAGCAGCGGTCTCCTCAAGCTTCTCTCCGGAGCCGCAGCTAAGAAGAAGTCCCGGTCTCCGCCGTCTGTCTCTCCGACCCACGAGTCCTGCTCGGTTCAGGGGGCCATGGCCCCGGGGCTGCGGTCGGCCGGGGGTCACGGACGAGCCGGCTCCTGCCCCATCGAGAGCGAGATGCAGGGGGCCATGAGCATGGAGCCGCTGCAGAGGAAGAGCGGCTCGCTGGACCTGAGCTTCTCTGTGTCTCCGCCGGCGCGACAGCCCTGCTCCTCCTCACCGCTGGCCATCCGACCCGAACCCAAGCCTTTATCCCGAGAGAGGCGAGTCTAAATTACAAGTACAACTGAAATATTCAGCGAATATAAGATCACAATGCACATTTAATATAAGATCACAATGCACATTTGAATGCATGAAGTTAAGATGTGTAGCAAGCCCTGGAAAAAATGACACAAATTTTTAATTTTTGTGCATTTTAGTTTAAAAATAAGTGCAGTTGAAGCAGCAGGTTTGTTTTTGAACAGTACTTTGCAATATGGTGCTGTTGTTCTGGCGCCCTCTTGTGGACTGATCTGGTGTGTTTACTAATATTGAAATTGCTAACATGTTATCATTCAAATTTTGAAGATATTTCATATTTATACACTACCAGTCAAAGGTTTGGAGTAATTTGAGGGGTTTTATTTTTTAATGAAAGAAGTCTATTTTGTTTGATCAAAAATACTGTAAAATTGTGAAATATTATTATAATTTAAAACAGCATTACTGTCACTTTTGATCAATTTAATGCATCCTTGATGAATAACAGCACATTTTTTATTTTTTAATCTTACATTTCCCCAAATTAGTGTATTACTATTTCCACAAGAATGTTTCTCGAGCAGCAGATCAGCATATTATACTGATTTCTGAAGATCATGTGACACTGAAGACTGGAGGAATGATGCTGAAAATACAGCTGCGCATCACAGAAATACATTACAGTTTAACAGAGATTCACTTATTTTAAACTGTAATGATATTTAAAAATTGATACAGTATTTTTTGATAAAACAAATGCAGACCTGGTGAGCATAAGAAAAGTTTTTCAAAAATTCACAAAAATCTGAATTATTCCAAACTTTTATTAATGAAGTATATTCATTGAAATATTCAAATTTGAGTTTTTCATGCAATAAATATTGTTTAAATTTTCACTCAGTTTTCAGCAACATTTACTCGTGTCATTTCAAACCCTTGTGCTAATTTACTGTAATTTATTTATTTTCATTTTTACTTTATTTTTAGATTATAAGGGTTTTTGGTTTGGAAGGTTTGTCGTGTGTGAATGTTTCTCCTGTTATCATCTGTTGAGCGTCTGCTGTTCACGTCTGTGTGCGTCAGGTACCGCGTGCTCGTCCCGTATCCGCCGCAGAGCGAAGCCGAGATCGAGCTGAAGGAGGGCGACATCGTCTTCGTGCACAAGAAACGTGAAGACGGCTGGTACAAAGGGACGCTTCAGCGCACCGGACGAACGGGCCTCTTCCCCGGCAGCTTCGTGGAGAGCTTCTAGAAGAGCAACAAGCTCCTGAGACCTAGAGGATGTCCAGAAGAATCTCCCCGGGTCTCCTGATGAAGACGAGCATCTTTACTGCCCTCACAGATCCGTCAGGTGACAGATGGTGCCTTCATCTGCGTGTGAGTCTGCGGCGCCCTCTGCTGCGTGTCCTCCTGAAGCTCCCTCAGAGTCTGAGAGAAGCTCTGAGCTTGAGAAATGATTCCTACAGCTGCTCCTTCGAAGCGGTTCAGTGTTCCTTCGGTACTTTAATCGGAATGATGACGACACAACGAGGATGTGATATATCATAGCACATGATAAGATGTGAATGTAGGAGTGATGAATCTCACGAAACCTGGCAAGAGTGTCATATCTCACGCCAAAATCAAGAGAAAAAAATAATTACATCTAAAATACAAATAAATAAAACAATTAAAGCCTTTTTTTTCAGGACCATTAGGATTTTTTTTTACATCGTTTTGGATTATTTTCACACTAGATTCTCGTTATTATAATGCAAAAATAAAATAAAAAAGATATATTATTTAAATCGTAAAATATTAATGAAGCATGTTAGTATTAGTATACGCGTGGCTTTATGCTCATTCAAATTAAAAAATAATGCATTACAGGAAATATGTTAAATTTGTTTAATTGTGAAAATAGTGTCACAATAATACTATAATTAACAAAAATTATATATTATTAAATTATATATAATTTTTAATATATGTATATATATATTTAATAAAAAATAATTATAATTTTATAAATGATAGATAGATAGATATAGGTATCAAATTTTAATTATATATATATATATATATAAAATGCTAACCAAGGCTTCATTTAAAAAAAACATTTTAAAGTATGATTTCTGAAGGATCGTGTAACACTGAAGACAGGAGTATTGATGCTGAAAATTCAGCTTTGATCACAGAAATAAATTACAATTTAAAATATTTTTAAATAAGAAAAATATTTGATCCATTTTTAAATTGTAATAAGTCACAGTATTACTATTTTTACAGTATTCTTGATCAAATAAATGCAGCCTTGGACATTAAAAATATTACTTATTCCAAACTTTTGATTGGTAGTATGTTTAAAGTTTCTTTCTTTTAATTTTGGACTGAAATATGACCCGGACACGTTTTGCTGAGATTGGCTCACTCTGCGGGTTATAATGAAAGTTTGTTTACAGTGAAAGCACAAACTCGTTTTATTGGTTTTCTACGCCGGTTCTGTCTTTCCTAGAGCATCATGGGATGTGCATGCTGGTTTACTGACATTATTTGTGTCTTGTTTACCGAGTGTCGCTGTGGAGGTTTGATCTTTGTATCTGCTGGTGCCGAGCTCTAGAGACACTCCAGTTTTATCAACTATTTTCACTTTGATTCCTGAATTTTCCATGTGCTCAGTGTGCCAGAAACAGACTTCACACGAGTACACAAACGCGTTCGGCCAGCGTGTTTCAGGCGTGTGGTCCTGTCGAACATATTTAATGTGTTCCTCTGTTACTGAGGAGCTTTCCTTCAGATCTCTGAGCCATTAAAGCAGATGTGTTGTCATTCAGATATAACACTTTCACTATAACTCTCTCAGAACTGGTGCTCTTTAATGATCTGAAAGAGAAAACTGACCATAGAAGACGTTGCACACCAGGGTCATTATCGTTAACTAAATCTAAAATATTTAAAACATTTTTGGTAAAGTCGGCATGAAATTGAAGTTGAAATGGTCTTTTCTTCTATTCTGCAATATGAGTGAAATGGCGTCTTGAACAAGAAAAAAAATGTCTGTCGGGAATTGATTGGATCATTGTCAAATTATAAAAAATGTATAATGTATACAGATAAATAATTTATAATAAACTGCAGTATTCCCCAAAAAAATAATTTTAAAAATCATTGATTTTTATCGGTTATCGGTTATCGGTTATGGATTATCGGTGACTTTAAAGCTAAACTAAAGTCAAATATAAATATTAGAAATGTTAGAAATGTTGCATTGGCAGCTAACTGAAATATGTTCGCAGCTGAAGCGCTAAAATTACTGGAAATAAAAACTAAAATTGGAAAAAAAAAGTTTTATTTAAAAAGAACAAAAAGCTAATAAAAATCACAAATGCAAATAACTAAAAGGAAAATGAAAACTGAAAGATAAAAAAATAAACGCTGATTCAAAACATTAATAATACAACATAAATAATTAGTAAATAGTAATATCCCTGGTGTAACTGGAATGCGTTTGTTCCTGTACTTGTGTAGAGTTTGTTTCCGGCTGTTGAGCATCATCTGAATGTCCGTCATGAGGACTGATCTCCGTCAGCCGCTGCTCTACATTAGAGGAGTTCTGATGAAACAGCACAGGTTTATTTTTATCGCGACGCTCAGAACCGATTGAACAACCGACCAGCATCACAGCGGCGTCTGAAGCACAAACTCACAAGAACACCGAGCAGACCACACGTTTCACTTCATCAGATTACGCTAAATGATATGATACGAGTTGCTCTTTTGTGTGGTTGCTGTTCAGCCAACAAAACATTAAAATGCCATTTTGAAAAAAAATATATACAGAAAACAGGAAGTGATGAAGATGTAAATTCATTAGAATGACGGCCTCTTTTACAACCGCTTCAAACTCTCTGCCAACATCATTTTTTAAATCTAGTTTTAAGTGAAATTTTTCATTGGTGTCAAATTAAATACGCTGTCTCTCCTGATGCGTGTCTGCCGGCGTGTTCTTGTGTGTAAAATCAGTCCGGAGACGTCCGCTCACAGGACGTGTTCTAGTTAGTGTGTCTACTCGTGTAATTGTTAGTCGATGTGCAAACGCTCTAGACTGACGCCGTTGCATTGCATTCCGCCGTAAGAAACGTTCAAGCGTGCAGCTGTTTTTAACAAACGCACGTGTCCTGTGGAAACTATGGAAGCCCATTTCGGCCACTGAATAAAAAATAAAAAAGCTAATTGCGACTTTTTATCTTGCGATTCTGACTTTTTTCTCACAATTCTGACATTTTTCTTGCAATTGTGGATTTACATATTGCAATTCTGATTTTCGCACAATTCTGAAATTTTTCTCGTAATTGCAAGTTTATATCTCACAATTCAAAAAATGTTCTTGAAATTTAATTTACGTCTCAATTCAAACTATTTTTCTCACAATTGCGTTTACATCTCAATTCAAACTATTTTTCTCGCAATTGCGTTTACATCTCAATTCAAACTATTTTTCTTGTAATTGCGAGTTTATATCGCAGGCAGAGTGGCCCGTGCGACTTTTTATCTTGCGATTCTGACTTTTTTCTCACAATTCTGACATTTTTCTTGCAATTGTGGATTTACATATTGCAATTCTGATTTTCGCACAATTCTGAAATTTTTCTCGTAATTGCAAGTTTATATCTCACAATTCAAAAAATGTTCTTGAAATTTAATTTACATCTCAATTCAAACTATTTTTCTCACAATTGCGTTTACATCTCAATTCAAACTATTTTTCCCGCAATTACGTTTACATCTCAATTCAAACTATTTTTCTTGTAATTGCGAGTTTATATCGCACAATTCAAACTATTTTTCTCGTAATTGCGAATTTATATCTCACAATTCAAACAATTTTTCCCGCAATTACGTTTACATCTCAATTCAAACTATTTTTCTTGTAATTGCGAGTTTATATCGCACAATTCAAACTATTTTTCTCGTAATTGCGAGTTTATATCGCACAATTCAAACTATTTTTCTCGTAATTGCGAATTTATATCTCACAATTCAAACAATTTTTCCCGCAATTACGTTTACATC